CCAGCACATTCCAGGGGATTCACTCTGTTTATGAAGGTCAGATAGTTGAATTATGCAATATTGGAGAATGCAAAATGAAAACATTGTACAGTTTGTGTGCATGAATGTGTTTTGTTGCCAGTAGCGTTTTGAGTGATGTTCTCCACGGTGCCATATGTTTGCCTCGAAGTTGTTTAAATGTTCCTTTCTAGTATTCTCAGTTTCTCTTCATCTTTGAGCAGGAAAGCTGTTTGCCTTCTCCTCATATCAGTATTTCCTGTTTTTCTCCAATTCCATGACTTAATATAAACACTTTGTGTTGAGTAACCCTGGCTCTGTTTACATTGTTGCTCTGTTGTTGCATTTTTACATTGAGGCAGAAAGAATTCATACAAATCAGAATATTTAAAGTCCCGTTCTTTCATTACTTTGGTAAAGTGGATGTTGGATTGTGTTCGTTAAAGTGAAGTCACATTTAAAGGTTTTAACGTGTTATTCTTTTTTTAAAAATATGTCTGGATAAGTATGCTGTCCATTAAATATCTGTTAATAAATAAAAATGTTGTCAAAAAAATAATTTATTTCAGTAACTTCATCACTTGGTAAAATACTTTGTATAAATTAATTCCACACAGACTAGATTTGTTCTAGCTTTCATTTTTGGTAACTATGATTATTTTCTGCTTACAACCCCAGAAAATGAAAACATGTTTAACTTGGGCCTAACGCAAAATATGTTTAATACTTGTATAAAGGTTGCTATTTTCACAAAGTACTTTTAGTTTGACAGAAAAACCTGATTGGATCATTATTCTAACTTTTTAAATATGACTGTTCTGTCTAAAGACAGAGCAACATTCCAAAGAAAATGAGTCATATACTGGATAGTTTTCCCAAAAGCAGACAACTGACATGAAACGCTGAATAACAACCAACTTATTGCTGTTGAAGTTCAGCCTTAACTCTCTCTTGGTTTTGCTGTTTAAATCTCTGTCTCGATGGACATGCTGGGGTTGAAAATATATCCAATCTATGTTCCTATGTTTTAGTAATTTATTACATTGTTTGGTCATGCACCAGCCCTTTTTACTAGAAGACTCTGCAAAATAGCTGCGAATGTGAGCCATAATCTGACCATATATTTGCAAAATTTACCATTCCAAAAATACAGTTGCTTAAGGGAAACATAACAATTTAGAAAAAAAACGTGTTTTTTCAGTAAACAGTTGGAAAACTGTTTATTAAAAATCATATTGAAAACACCTTATCGTAGGAAAAGGTGTTTTTCTTCTTTTCTGCTCCCTAGCGAAATTGGTTCATTTGGCAAAAGTGCAATGGAAACACTTTGTTTGCATCACACAAGTGACATGGTCAACAACATCCATTTGTTGACGATGTGCCAGCTCTGGCACCAGCCACACAGAAGAGGACGACAGGAAGTAGTTTCAGGACCATGCACTCATTTCTTTTTATGACTTATTGCTTGAACAGACTTATTCACATGTGGTTTTCCATTAAAATGTCTCTCATTTTAATGGAAACTGCACAATTGTGAATTTGTGTTTTTTCAACATTGGAAGAATATTGACAAAGTTTAGCTTGCATTTGTAATGGAAACACAGATAGTGTGGTTGCTTTGGCCTTTCATATATCCTTTGTTCTACTTAACTGTGTCTTTATGTTGGCCCTCAGGGATCAGATTCAATTGAATTGAACTGAAATGAATTGAGGCACTTTAGCCATCATGGACCAGATTAGTAAGGTTAGCAGTGCAGCCCATTAATTACAGTGCAGTGCTGCTCGTTCCCCCTCCCACACTTCACACCTACTAACAAACTCAGCTCTGAATTTTTCTTGATGACTGGGAGCCATAAACACAGTCGACCATGCTCTGGCATGGGTGGAAAATGATTACCATTGTTCACACTGAAACAGACACACACGGAGCCAGCAGTTCCAGTCCCAACAGGCTGCAGGGCTAGCTGCAGCTTGTCAGGGTAGCATGCAGTGCTGAGACCCTTGGGGGCCTGAGAGACTCCTGGATGGTGATTCCACACTCCTCATTCCACCTCTGCCCTGAAACAAAGAGTCTTTATTCAGAAAACAACCGCAGATCAAAAAACGAATCAGTGATTCTTCTGTAATACTTGAAGAAGACTCATTCTGAAGTTAGGATGGGAGGACCTCTGGTCATAAACTGATATAGAAAAATGCTGCTTTTAAAGATGTCATGCTAACATATTTAGGTCTGAAAGTCAGTCATAGAGTATTTACCCAGAGCTATTCAGTAAGGGATCAATGGCATCACACACTGGAAATGTTTATGGCACTTCCAGCAGACAGTGTGCAGATGATTCTTTTTGAAGGAACGTAATGTGGTGAACTCTGAACTGGAGGTCAACGTGATCACAGAGTCTTCCCAGCACCATGTTCTGGTTTACTATGGGAGGGGTTATCCCATCAGTACCTTTAGCAATCCTTTTTCTACTTTTATCATGCCAGCATTGATGTAGATTTTAGGGAACACTATTTTGCTTTCAACACCAAGAAATCCAATGATCTGTTTATCTTCCACTTTATCCAGTTAGCATGCACTGCATGATCTGGATGGATTATCCAAACTTTTAACAGGTTTCCTCCCAGAGTTGTCCTCTATTCAGCTCCATCTATTTTACCATAAACTGTGATCAGCTTTTCTTTATAGCTCTGCACTTCTGATACCAAGGGTCTCTTGGCTGCTTTTCTGAATAATCCTCTATTTGCTTCTGTATATTTAGGAGGACAATAATGACTCAGTAGGTTTGCAGTTGCTCCAACCTGGCTCTTCAGACTATGGATTGAACAGACAACTATGTCATGTTCAGAGCTTGGGATGTTGTTGTTAAAGGGGCAGTGCCATGTAAAAACAACTCTTTTTTAGCTTTAGATCATGTTAATATTATTCCCTCGTCAAAAGCATATCCAGAGTGTTGCTCTGATACTTTCATGCATGTTTCAGAAATCCTTTAATCTCCCCTGGCAACCATTCATATGTGCAAAATGCTTGGTAGAAACCAATCGACACCTTCGAGGACAAAACTCCTCTCGGCTCTGTAGTTTCCAAGCCTTTACTTCCCCTTCAACCTTCAGAGAACAGCTGTATTATTGACTTCTACGGATTAGTTGATCTCCATTTGATTTTATTAAGAGGTATTGAAGGTACTGAAGGTGCTTCAGCGCTAATGTAGATGACTTTCTTTTAACTTGTAAAGGAAACTTCTTTAAACCTTCCTTTTTGGTCATCTTACTTTACTTCGTCTTAGACAGAGCATTCTTTCAGTGAATTGCATTTGGGTTCAGAGAATGGCATTAAGTTTGGTGCCAAACCGCAACGTTCATTCATCAGAACAAACTAAGTGATGGCAGGAAGAAGAGAATGGAGAAGTAGAGGAAACCAAGTCATCTTGGTTTCTGTTGCCATGTGATCCGTTTGCCACAACACTTAATTAGTGTGGCCGAGTTGCCGCCAACACTTTCTGATGTCACACCTCACAAATTATCACGCCGGCCGAGAGGACAAAACAATTCTCTGATTTTCAGCTTGAAATTCATCCCACAAAGAATCTGAAGGAGTTCCTGGGTCTGCTTTGAATGGAGACGTTCAGAGATCACTTATGAGTTAAGATGAACTGCAGAAGAGCATAATCCTTGTGTCTTTAAGCACGTTGAACATAAACACAAAGCAGAATTGTTTTGCACACATTAAAGTTTCAGTGCCAGATTGCTGTCCCTCTGTGGGCTCCTTTCAGCAGGAGAAAATCAAATCCAGCCTGTCGTGGCGTGTCAGGCGTTCTGCACACACATGGAAAAAGGGAAAGGAAGTTCAGGTGGAGGCAGCATTATTCTCCAGTGCCTGAAGGCTTTACAGGTGAAATGTTGCTGAACGCGTGGACTGTTCTGAGGGGATTGTGAACACAGCAGATTTACTGTATACTGTCATCAGAACACATCAAAGCCTGTATTACAAAACAGGATTAGTGGTCTAGAAAGTAACTTAAGGATTAGCTTTTCAGAATCATGAAGGTGTTTTAGTCATTGCCCAGCCTTGGATCAGGACGGAGATGCACAATGATGAAACCAACAGACAATGGAAATCTGAGAGTTCTGTCTTTGCCACTGCTGTCAGATTGATCAACTCTGTTCTGCACTGAAAGATTGTTGTCGTTGATTAGGTTGTTGTATGTTTTTTCATTTGTGTAATTGCACACATGAAAAAAGACTATTTGTACAGCAAATTGTACAGCAAATAGTCTTCAGGGTAATGACGTTTAATTGAATTAAACTGAAGCAGGAATAATACATGTTAAACTGACATTGGATTGATGAGGGACTTGTGATACAGAGGGTTTTATATCAGATCAGCAAAGGAGCTGATCATTTCAACACAGGTCAGAGTCCTGGCATTTCAAGAAACACTCCTGAAAAAACAATTATGCCAAACACTATTTCTATCATGGGAGAGGAGGTGTGTGTGGTGGAAGTGTGTGTAAATAATTTGGTGTTCACCAAAGAAGATGCATGGAGATCCAATATTAATATCTCCATGATATTGAAGAATAAATTCTAGATCAGGTGATGATATGCTCGATCCATAAGGGCAGATCTATTCAGCCTAGATATACACTTTGTACTCTGAGCAATGCCATGCTTTATTATTTATTTCACATTAAATTTAGAATTCCTAAATGTACTTTCTGAAATATTTGAAAGAAGGTTTGCTGCAGTTTATTTTGAGATGTTTGACCAACTCGACATGTTTTTGTCAGCTTTACTTTCTTGTTGTTCTTCTCCTAATAGCACTGACTGAACAAATGAACTTTGACAAGAAAAAACATAGACTATTAAGATTATCACATTGGTGCTTGGAGATATTATCAGTGTTTTACGTTAGTATTGTCTTAACTGGACCTTACTTGGATCTCTCTTTTCGTTGGTAAACCCTGTGAATTTCTCTCTGTTTGTGTTTCTCTGCTGCCTTCCAGACTTCAGTGATCAGCTCTTGGAGGTGGTGGGCCTGGAGGGGGCAATAGAAATGGGGCAGATCTACACTGGGCTGAAGAGCGCAGGACGCAGACTTGCTCAGTGCTCCAGCATCACCATCAGGTCAGCTGCCGCCGCCATCCTGTCCCCAAACTGAAGCTCCTTCCACTGCTCAGCTTCAGCCTTTCTCTGTCACTAGCCATTCTATGTGTTCCAGTTCAACCACACAGAACATAAAATACATACCTCCCCTGTACATGCAGAGTAAAAAATGCATTCCTTTTGAGGGTTTATGTGCCTTCATGTCTAAACAATAACATCCTTCTAGCTGATAAATTATATATCATAGCTGTGTGCTTTACAAAGCAAGCAGTGGGGACTTTGGACTGACAGGCTGAGGATGAAGAAGAGTCTGTGTTCAGTTTCAAGTTCTGCAAATAGAACAGAAAACCACTGGTTACCCATTAGCTATAGTACCAAAGGCAACCAGTGAAGTGCATGGTAATCACAGGCTATCAATAAACTGTATTGAACTAGTCATGGGTAATTAATGAGACGAGGAGGGTCATGTGTTTCTAGCAGACAACAGATGCTGTTTCCATCAGCAGAGGTTATTGTTCCTGCTGCGAGTTCTGGGTGAAAGGATTTGTTGTTATTTGTGAGGGTTCTGGTGAATGAGGAGTCAGACATTGTCTGTATTGAACTAGATTCAAGTAAAGTCAAAATAAAAAGTTACTGTAAGTTAAAAATGTGCAAGTTTTAAAGTAATTCAACACAAAAAATTAAAAATGAGTTTTCACCACTAAGCCAAAATAAAACACTTGTTAGAGCGCAATCCCAATTCGCAATCTGTCATGAATGCCACTGATGATGGCAGATAATGGGAGGGTTTGCCTCTGATTGGTTACTTTTGATCAGGAGCGGTGAATTTATTCAGATGGAACTTGATCTTTTCACAGATTATCTGTCTCATATTATCCTGTCACCACATGCTGACAGTTTTAACAAATATGTAAAAAACATATTTTTTTTATAAAAGTTACTGTACATACTGCAGCTTTAAGTTGGCGTTTCATGCAGAGACAGCAGGTTAATGGACAGTTTTTCTCCATCTTTAACAACAAACTAACATAAAACAAAACTTTAACATTTAAAGTTGCTTGAAAGCAATTCTCATTGTTTCATAATATTCAAAACTAAAGTTTCTGATAAGGAGTTCAGAGTGGAGGAAGTGACATTGACCTACTTCAGATGTGTGTCCACTGTGTGTCAGCTAATGTAACAAGGAGAGGACGTTGGTTAGGACAGCAGTCTGTGTTATAGTGGATCTGAGGGACCTGGACTCTCGTTCAGTTTCCTAGACCAGAATTAAAAGCGTATTCATCCCAGCCGTTCTCCCACAGCGTGTTTCTTCAGTCACAGAGGCATCCACAAAAGTCTTAAACCAACTTTGGCTGTGTGTGTGTGTGTATCTGTGTGTGAACAGTGGGTTTGGGGAGTTTAAAGACTGGGGCCTGTCTGGGATCTGCTCTCATGGGAACAAAGAGAGCAGTGTCTGACCCTGACACTGGGATAGAGTTAGCAGACGTCCCTCTTGCCTCAGAGATGTGTGATATCTGACCTTCATGACCATCGCCCACTTTTACCAACCTCTGCTCCTCACCCATCATCCCTGTGCTGTGTTTTTCCAGGACTTCTCGGCGGCTGCCCATGCAGATCGATGGTGAGCCATGGATACAGCCTCCCTGCACGGTGAGAGGACCTATTTGTTTCCTCCAAAACCCTTTCATTCACAAATTCCAACCACCCTGACTACTGCTGGTAGAACCATACTTATTTAGTCAAATGGTTCAAAGTATTTCTCTCAGCTATCTGTTTTACCACATCAGAAATATCAAAGAGGATACAGGGAGGCATTGGAACGCATCAGTATTAAGCAAACATGTTAGGAGTACATTAGCAAAGTTAAACTTAGTTGGATTCAGGTAAAGACTTTGACTAAACATGTTGTTGTAGTTCTGATTCTCTGTGGTCTCTTACTTTAAAGCTTGACAAACTTCCCATGTCACTGCATAACAGAGTGACATGCATTGTCTTTCAGATATTTAGACAACAATCTGAATTTTATTCCACCTTACAATTGTGCGCTCCATTGTGCCAGTCTCTCACATAAATCCTCAAATAAAATACATCGATATTTTGGGGTTGTAATGGACAAAAGCCATAATGTTGAAGGAATATGAATAAAGGATGGGGCCGTAGCGGTCAGACCTTTCAGAGTTAACATAGCAAGCTAATATAGAAAGCTAACAGAGAGTGTTAACATGGTAAGCTAAGCTCTTGGCTACTTTTGTAGAACAACACCAAGCTTTCATACTGGCCATGTCAGGCTTTGACACCCAACAATGTCATTCCTTCAAATCTCACAGCACATTATTCATCTCACAAGGGCAGTCAGTTAATTGTCACTGTGCAGTAAAGCCTCTCTTGTCAATTTTTTTTCCCGTAAAATTCTAATAAAAGATGACTGTCAGTCTAGTAAGCTTGTTAAGCAATATTTTTAAAGCGGATTCTGTCATTTTTTCTTTCTTCACTCCCTCAGGTTATCATCACGCACAAAAACCAGGTCCCCATGTTGCTGGGCCCGACCCAGAAGACTTCCTTCTTCAACTTCAGGAAAAGCAAATACAGCCGCGAGTAGGACTCAAACACCCCGACTCAGAAACACACACACATTTAACCATTACAACTTCCTGCTGCCAAACAACAGGCAGGTTGGATTATAGACCTGAGAAATTAATTTTTGTTCCTGACGTTGCGCGAGAACAAAAATTTTATTCTCAGAACAAACGGAACCAACCATCATCCTGGAGTCCGAAAACATCCTTTCCCTCAGCTACTTGAAAACCTGAGTCACACACCAATACGACCCCAGCCAGCTGAGTTCTGCTGCTTGGTCCAGACGGTCACAGAGGCAGGTCACACGATCGTCCATTAAAGACCGAAACACTATGACTGGGAGAGAAGAGGGGGGGGAGGGGCAGCCAGGTGAACACAGTGAGATCCTGTGAGATGAATAATGAAACAACAGCTGCTTGTAAGAGCATTGGTCCCCGGGTCTCCCCACAGACTCTCATCACGCCACAGCAAAGGAAAGGCCTCATTCATTATTAACTGACTGCGCTTGCAGATTTATGGTGTCGTGGTGTAACAGTGGCCCAAAAGGACAGAAGCATGCAGGGACTTAGAATCTGTAGTATCACTGTCCTACAAAAAGAAACCCCTTAGAGACCTTTCCCCGACTGTTCGGACAATCCGGCGGAGGCTCCCGGCACGGAAAACTTCCACTGTTGCTACGATATCAATCTGGACTGAAAGTAGATCATAGAGACAATGTGGTTCAGTCTTGCTTTCTGTTCGAAAAGTGATGCATGTGCTGTAACACTAAATTCCTGATTTCAGTAGAATCAGCTCCTGCGCACAGTACAACACACACTTCCAGCGGCGTCAAAAGCCCTGAGGCCTGCTGAAGCATGGGCCACTTCTAACTTTTATTAATCTAGGTCAAACAAATGTGTATGTCCATTGCAGGGAGAGTCTCTGTCACTAGCTGCGTTTCCATTACAAATGTGAGCAAAACTTTTGTCACTATTCTGTTAATGTTGGAAAAAAAAACATTTTGCAATTGAATTGTTTCCATTAAATAAGAAACGCAATTAAGATCACAGGTGAATAAGTTTATTCAGGCGATGAGTTGTTAAAAACATGCCATCATCCTCCAACTACTTCCTGCCATCTTCTTTGTGGTTTTCACTAATGGCAACATCCTGTTGCTTGCAGTTTTGTAGAAATGCACATAAATTTTGAGACAGCCAAAGGAAAAAAAAAACACCTTATTCATCCTAACGGCAAAAAACAAGAGCGAGTTTATTTTTGAAATGCCAAATTATGTGGTCAATGGAAATGCAGCTATTGAGACTTGACCCTTAGTAGTTGAGTCATACTTTGAGGGAGAGCTGCCAAACCTTCACCAAGGTCCATCAGGAGTTAATGAAAAAAAAAAAAGAAAATTGTTTGAAATGAAATATGTAGTAATGTTAAAGCTTGGTTTGGTGTTTATAGCAAATGTATACTGTCCCGACAAAATATATTAGAAGAGTATATGCAGATAGAATATGTATATTTCTGGAAACTAGGTCTTGCCCACATGTACTGTAAATGTACACATGAATGTCTTTTAATATATTGTTGAAATGTGGCAAGTTTTGGCTCAGATCACCGTTCCACTGATGCAGTCGGTCTCCAAAAGCACTTTTTCAGTCCATCTAATCAGATCAAATTATATCATCATGGTGCAAAGAAAGTTCACTCCAGCTAAACTCTGAAGTTCACCATACCAAAACATGTTCTTTGCCAGGTTCTAAAATGATTTAAATCTAACCTCAAGTCTGAGAAAACATACACCAGCCTCTACACTGTTGCTATTTATTAAATAAAGGGGAAGCTAAAATGGTAATGATGTGTATGAAAAAACTTAGTAGTAACTCAGAAGACAGAGGAGCAGTAAAGCAGCTGCCAACCTCTCCAGAGGTGGAGGTCTTAGCACATTTACACCAGATGGTCAGAGAAACAGCTAAACAAAAGCAAAGGACCTTCATGTTAGATCATGCTGTCACCAGTTTGCATGGTGAATGTTAAAGTTCATGACAGGACCGATATACAGACACAAGTATGGCTTTCACTGAAAGGATGCAGAGAGAAATATTCACACCTGAATGAACCACAAAACTGACTATGAACTCTACAACCAGCGGTCAAGTCTTCTATCTGACAGCAGAAGTTTGAAACTGATTTATCAACCAAACAATGACTCCAAAACAGCAGCAAATCTAAAAAATAATGCCTGCATAGAGTCAAAGTTGCAATGGTCTAGTTGAAGTCCAGACCTCATTGAAATTGTGGGAGATTTCAAGTCATTCAGGAAATTTGAGGTATTTAATCCGGAAGTTTCCTTTTTTCAATTTTAGCTTCATATTTGTTGAATAAACAATAATAAAGAAGTTGTGATTATATTTAATATTTTGAGGTTCAATTGAAATCATTGTGGAATCAACATGGACAAACAACACTGGTTCCTCCAGGTGTGAACATTTTCCCTTTGAGTTCTTTTAAAAAACTAAAATAACCTATTTTTGTTGAGTAGCTTACACAGCTACTTTAAGTGTCTAAAATAAGCTAAATGCATCCTAGCCTGTAGCCTTCCACTGCTCTGAGGATTTACTTTCTTCACTGCAAACTCACATGATACATTTGCCACTACTTAGGAAACTACTCCTGATAAAATTGTGAACAGAACATCACTTAAAAAAAATGAATGAACCCTTTAATCTGCCATGACATTCACATGATGTGAATTAGATGATGTGAAAAAGTGTGCTGCTATAGGGCAGAGGGAGACCAAGATGTTCTGACGCTCCAAACTGAGCTCCACTGTAGGGTTGGGCGTTCAATGCCTTCACACCCTGACTCCCTTTAACAGCCACTGAGTCCGTGCTCAGGCCAGGCATCATTAAAACCAGTCGCAGGTGTCACTTCAGCTTCATTTAGGAATCCGGGATGTTGTTCATCAGTCAGTTACATCCATCTTAGCGGCCAGTTTGATGCTGAAATGTTCCAATGTAACAACAGCATGTGCAGAAAAGGAGCCTGGGTACCAGCTGGACTCAGTGGTTACAGAGTGCATGTTTACAGTAACTGTACATTTACTGAGAGAATGGTTTTAGATGCCTATATTACAGAGTGTACATATTTGTTTATAATATTTTATCAGAAGTTAATTAAATCACCGCATGCCTGCTGAGACAAAGAGTGAACAAATCAGAGTGTGTGGATCCAACTAATCTCCATTTCTGCCCTGGGTTTATTTGTTATGCTTTCCTTCTTTGTTCTAGCATTGAGGATCACTCCGAACACAAAAAGGAGGCTGCCCGCAGTGGATGCTCAGTGTCTGCTCAAAGGCTGTCTGGATGATTTTCCCGCGCATGTCACGACTCATATCTGTTTCTGTCCTTTGTAGCAATCAATTGCCTTAACAAATAAACTGACCCACTCTGTGCTAATGGTCTTTCACAGTCATGTTGATCCGAACAAATGAGGAGCAGGCGCTTTTATCAGTACCTGCATGGTTTGTTGTGTGGCATGCTAGCCCTTGTTTAGCAGACGAGGCTGTTCATCAGTGTGATGTAATCTACTCTCATTAAACCAGCAAAACAATCAAACCTATTTGCTTTATCTGTGCCTCAGTCTTCCAGAGGCGGGTTACCTCTAAAGATAAACCAGCAGCTTCAACAGACAGGGAGCTCTACTGTCTAAAGTGCTTAATGTTGACATTAGTCACATTCACAAGTTCTGTACATTCGTCTTGCAGGCCAAATTCATTCTAGTTTCTTAGTGATTCATTTCTCCAGGGCAGAATGAATGCACAACGCACAAATACGATCACATTTTCTCTGATCCACAGGTTCAAAACAGTTCATACAATAACTCCTTGACCACACTTTCTGCCACCTTTCTGGTGTAATTTGTAAGCAATGTGTGGTACTTCATCTCACAAAGTGGACAGAATAATTGTAGAGGGCTTGTTCCAAATTATTTATATTTGTTTTAAATAAACAACTAGATGATTGAAACATGGGGACAGTTAGGAGACAGTCAGTTGTTTACAGCACACATAATTTCTGGTAAGCTTCATAGTGTAGCTTCTTTCACAGTCAAGTTGGTTCATTACACACAACACAGCTAAACGTTACTGACTGGATAAAATCTGATTCGGAAGTTTAAAACTTCAACAGAATCCATGTCTCCAGCAAAGCAGTTTTTACCAGCTTAGGCCAATGCTTAGCCTGGTAAAAAATGGCAAAAATCATTTTCCCATAATTAGAAAACAAAATCCAGTCAACTGTGCCAAAAACATGGATCAAATATCAAGCCAGAATTAGGACAACATAGCTATGATGTACTTTTTTTTTTTTTTTTTTTTTTTTTGACAAAATACAATTAGAAGAAGAAAAGTATCATTCTTCGTCATGTTCATCATGTAAGTGGTCTTACACTGCAGTCATGGAGCCATTACTCACTCTGTAAAGGTCATTTTTCAGACACTACTGTCACATCAGTTGTTGTTTTTTTCTCATTTTACAGCAGAAGTGCAAAAATTCATTACCACCAGTGACCACCAATGGTGACATGTTTTGGTTTCATTATCTCAAAGATGTCGGCTGTGGACAAGAGAAGGACCAACAGTAAGAATCGAACCCCATGTTCTGTATTCCCTGTAAAATGATCAGAATGCTGCTGGGGAGTCTCAACCTTTCATCCATCCTCTCAATTCTCCTTCACCTTCCAAAAAGTTGTACAGGCTTCATATGAGTCAGAAGTAGAAGGTGACAAATGCATATAGTTGACTGTGAGCCAGTATGACAATATTGTGATAAAATTATTTTAATGTTCAACTTTTACAGGACAGTAGGATAAATAACACCTTTCCACAAAAAACTTTATGACAGCTGCACATCATTAAAGATTGATAGAATGTCAGACGTTCATAACAACTGGACCACAACTCCGGTAGAATTTCAATCAGGCCAATCAGCGATCAATGACAATTTTCTGCACTGCCTATGGCTGAAGTTTGGAAACCACAGACTGCACAGCAGTTAAGTAATTTAAGATTACAAAAAGTTATTGTTTTTTGGAAGACAGGGTTCATTTTTGTCAGTTAACATACCTTGACTGTTTGAAAAGAACAGGAGCTTAATTTTTGATGTGAAGGCTAAATTGTTAGCTTGTAACAGTTTGCTTGGTCTCGTTGCACTAGCTGTGTTTCCATTAGCTGTGTAAAAATTAGTTTATTTTGCAAAATTGCTATAAAAATACTTTTTACGCATCATATGAGTCACATGATCACCAACAGGATGTTGTTACTCTCAGAAAAGACAAAGATAGGAAGTATCAATGGATGATGGTTTGATATGTGTTTTTATTTACGTGAACACACATGATTTTAATATGTTTCTTATTTAATGGAAACAACGCAATGGCAAAATTATGTTTTTTGGCATTTGGGGAATATTGTTAAAGTTTTGGACACATTTGTAAAAGAAATGCAGGAACTGTTCCCAAATGTAAAAGCCTTTCCAAATTGCGAAGATATCAGCTGAAGTGAGTTTATCATACAGTTTTTGGAGAATCCAAAAACTGTACAATAAACGGAAAGTAGCAAATTAGCCACTGTCAAATGCATTCACAGTAATGCATTCACATAAGAGAAATACATTCACAGTATTTCTCTTATCAGATCAATTTGCGTATTGTAACTACTAGACCACTCTCACTCATGCTGTGTCATTTCAGTATAGATTCAGAGAGTGCTCCTAGTTCAGAGCACTGTGATCCACAGGGAATCATTAGAGTGACACCAGGATCCACTAAGAGCTGCTGCTGCTCGTATGAGTGAAATCATCAAAACAATGGGACCAGAACCAAATGCTTCATTTTAATTAGGAAGTCACCTGCAGGTTCAGGGGAGACTGCTGTAAACAAAAGCATCTGTCCTGATCACTTTTTCTGATCTGCTTCAGAAGAAGTGTGTCTGTGCAGCGTGTCGTGCCTTTAGGGTCAGAACATCGGAGGGAGTCAAGGGCAGCTCTGCCCCCCAGTTATCCAGAAGCTGATCAAACCGAGAGGGCCTGGAGAATCAATATGTCCAGCCTCTGCAGTCTGGATCTGCTTCTCTGCAAAGTGTCATCCTCACTAAATGTTGACTGCTGGCATCTCAATGCACTTCAAAATCTGACGATGAACAGAAGAAGCTAGTGTAATGTTTTTGCTCCGTTTTTTTTTCCTTAATCACCTGAACTAAACAAACAAAATCCAATTGCATGTTGATAGCCATCTTTTGGTTCCACTTAAGCTATATTTGAACTCCAATTTATTTTGTTAAGTGTTCTTGAGAAGCAATCGCAGACGAGTGTGTTCACTTTATGCCAGAGCAAAACAGATTTCAGCACGTTAAAATAAATCAGTCTCAACAGCAGCTGTTTGTTCAAACTCAATTTTATAAACTTTTGATACAACATTACGACTACATCACTGTGTTAAAGCTGAATTACGCAACTGTTGTAAAAATAGTTTTTTTATGCATTTGTTGAATCTGTCACTATGCCATGACAGTACATTATGCTAATCAGAAACAACCAATCAAGAGGCATCTCCATCAGCCATTGCCTTTGCCCCATTTTAAATGGGTTCTATAACAACAGGCTTCAGCATCACATTTGACCTGGAGGAATGATGCCTGGTCTTTCCACACCCACCTTCTCTGTTCACCATCTGGGGTTGGAGGTCAGGAGGAGGTTCTCTGGAGGACCTCTCTATGTCTGGGGCTCTGACCTTCTCCATGTCTGCCTACCATCAACATCCAATACTGAGCACTCCTATGGAGAAACCTCACATACACAAGCATGCTCAGGCAACTACACACACAACAAATTCAGGTATTAACAGATACATTCTGCCTCTAAATACATCTTGTATTAATTAGCAGTGGTGTTAGGTATGCTATGGTTGTTTGTCGCTGTGGTTTCTCGTTTCTGTTTTTCTGTCTCTTTCCACAGGTGTAGAAGTAAATTCAAATGTGTTTTTGTGTAATCTGTGTATTCCCTTTCTTTTCTGCCTCTGAAGTCAAATACTGAACGGAACATCTAAAGTTCAACTAAAACCATGAGCCTGATATTCCAGGCAATGTCACTGACTTAAAACCCAACACCTCAATGGAAATAAGAAACAACAGAAATCTTTATTTTATTACCTCCTGGTTTTATCATTGTGGGATTTGGCCCTAATCTGAAGAATAGCAGTAAGCTGCAGAATTGACTGTAGCAGACACTGAATTAGGTGTTGGACACACAGAGAGAAAAAAGAGAAATGGTGAAAGAAAGCATTATTATCCAGCAGCCTTTGGCAAGGCTTCTTGGGTTTGGCTGCTGGGATGACAAGGCAGGAATTATCTCCCAAAGTGCTATTAATAGGATACGAGTCACATCTTGTCCCTCAGTGAGCGCATCCTGCACCCAGAGGCCTTGCTTTTCTATTTGAACTCTTTCTGAAATGTGCATGTCGACAGATGCTTGCAAGCTGGGACAGGCTTGCTGAGACACTCAGCGGCAAAATTCTCATCACTATTTTCTACACTGAGGCTCCACTGACAGTAAGATGATATACAGAATGCAAATATACAAGTATAAATTCTGTGCAGTGTTGTACAACAATGGTTTGACTGTGGGTAACTAAAAATGATTGCTTAGGGCAGCTGTTAATAAAACTATACCTAGTCTGGGAATCACCTGATCATCAGAAAAATAGTAGAGAACAGTTAGATGCTGGGATAAGAGCTTGCAGTGTATTGTTGGCTGTACCTCTGCAGCCTAAAGCAATGCAGAGGTTAACAGCAGCTGTGTTTGGCTAGCAGAGCCAGACTCAGTGAAGCTCCGTTTCTCAATTTTTGTGACGAGCATCAGTTTAAAGTTGGTGGTCTTGGGGAACCTGTGATTTTAAGTTTCCTTCTGCAGCGTTCTTAATAAAACCAGGATCAAGGTTTATGCCTTTGGCTGGGAAAAATACAGTTAGCAGATGTGAAAACAGTGATCTGTATATATCTTCGGATGTCTTTCTATGATCTATATGGAAGACCGGTTTTTCAGAAGTCATGCAGGAGAAGAAGACGCTCTGATGAACAAATTACTCAAAAAACAGGCACTACCAGTGAACAAGGGAACTTCTTTTTAGAGGGACACACCGTTCTTTTGGGATTTTTGGATTTTATTGTCCAATTACTACAGCCAAATGATTTAGTTTTAGATGCACACAGTGAAACATTCTCTGGGTCTGCACTGGTCTTAAATAAAGTTTGTACCTTGCATAATCTTTTCAGAAACCACTCTGAACTGAAGCTTAGTTTACATTTAAAATGAGAAGGGGTTAATCCAGCTTAAAGGGATCCAGGAAAGCAAAGCGGGGCGGATACAATCCAAACCCTACTGTTATTCAACATCATGTAATGTTGTTTACATCTCTGCAAGTATATACCCTGTGATTGCACCATCTGATGTGTTTGTTTTTCAAACAGTTTATTTACTTTTTTAATATCTGAAATTGTTTGAGACATGCACAAATGAAGGCTGCGCTGAGGTTTCGAACCTGGTTGGTGTTTCTGCCGTGTTCTAACCTTGCTCTGCAACAACCAGGATTAGCCTACATGGCTCCAAGATAACTCTCTTCTT